CGGGGGGATGCGCTTTCCCGCCATGTATCCGGGTTCTGCCCGCTCCAGGCGCTTCCCTGGGAACAGCCCTCCCCTCTATAGCCATGCACAAACATTAAAACTGCCTTCCCTTCTACTGCTGAAACATAAATGAAGTTCAGGGCCCAGGAGATCTGATTTTCCTTTCCCATTCACCGATTAAGTTAATTATTTCCGTGATCGAATTTTGACATCTTTTTAAGCAGTTGTTGCTGTCTTTTTTGGGTCATAGTTGCTATAGTTAAAAAGAAATTGTACTTGCATTACACCGCTGTTATAATTTGCTGGCCGTTAGAGCAGTACTTGGAAACTCAACCCAACCTAGTGTCTGACAGCAGGTATAATCACATTCCAAGGAGCAGATTGACAGCCAGTTGATGAGAAATGTTAAATATGGAGCTTTGCTTTCTTGGTTAAGTCATTGAAAAAGGGCGTGAAGAAGGAATTGCTTTTGAACTGCTGTTTCTGGTTTCTCATGTTTTGTTTTTTTTTTTTTTATAGTAGCATAAGCTGAGGCCTTCATCCTAAGTAACAGATTATTTACTAGATTCTTTGCAAACAGAAAGTTTTAGTGTAGTAAAGTCCATTACGGAAAATAATGAAATTGTAAGTAAATAGTTTAATGCAGTTCATTTTTGCTAAGACTCACTGTAATATATGATACTGTGATATATGATATGTGATAGCTGATTTTACATGGTAACCAAGGACTTAGAGCGTCGCTGTGATAGTAATACTGGGATAATACCAGTTAATGATCCTTCTTTATTTTAGTCTCTATACTTATGTTTTCAATTAACTTAAAGTCTTTTCATATTAAATGTATACACTGCATTTTCAGGATGTGAATGTAGATGCACAAAATGCAAATGGCTTTTTATTCCAAGTGTAAGAACTTCACAGAAAATTTAAATAATCCTTTGCTGACAGTGATGTTCCTCTAGAACAAGTTATCAGTAAATGCATCATGCATTGATTAATAATAACAACTGGCATAAAGGAAATTTTGTTCTTAATTGCAAGGTTAGAGACCTCAGTCTCTCGTGTCTCTTGTAACCTGTAGTTACCCTTACCTGAGTGAAGCTTCAATTTTAATTGCAAAGACTAAGTTTTTCAGGTAGGCCAGATTATTTCTTTTTTCCAAAGAAGTAGAAGTCATGGATCAGGGAACCCTTGTTATTTTTAACCCAGTTTTATCTACTGTTGCAATAGTATACTTATGTTTTATGGTTATGCCCATGCAGTATGCCAGATCTGTCATCTTAATCAGTTTTATGCCAAGAAAAGTAGCTCAGGTGCAGTTGTAATGTAGAGGTCACATGTAATTTTTGTTGCTTCTTTACAGTCTTCACATTCCCTGTATGATAGGGCTGCGATTCACAATCCCTGTTGGATTTGCTCTGGCAGCCAAGGCAGTTGATGTCCCCTAACTGTGAGAAAGACTCCATGTACTGCAGTTCAGTGTAAGAGGTATCATGAATCAGCCATCAGTTTTCTCATTTTTACCACCCTGTACTATTGCACTTCAGTGGTTTTCTATGCTGTAAATTGGTGAGTTGCCTCATCTTCTGTTTTTCGCACCTTTGAGTGAAGACCTTCAGCGGGGGATAAGGTTGGAGAGTTGAGAAAGGTTATATGTTTATTGCAGCCACTAAGTCATTAGGAATTAATTTTTCAAGAGGAATAGGTTTAATGATCAGCTAAAGTCTAAATCATGGTGGGGTCAGTTTTCATTCTATATCAGTTAACTTATAAACCTCGAGTAAAAAAATGTTTTTGTGCTCCACAGCACCCATGCATGGTGAGGAGTGTATGGGGAAGGAAATACAGGGGCAAGGTTCTGCAGAAGAGGAAAGGCAGTCCTGGGGTTTAGTTGTAAATGAAAAAAAAGCCCTAGGAATTGAGTTGAATCATTAGTAAGAAGCTACTGCAAACAAGACTTCCTATAAAGAAGGAAAAGGGGAGTAAGGCTGTGATTCTTTAGCAGTTTCCCATGTGGAATGCTTAGGCTTATAATGATTACAGTTCATGAGTTATCTTGCCTCTGGAGTTATTTCCCCTTTGTATTGTTTTCTGTCTCCTCCTCCCTCTAATCTAAATTCTAAAGGAATAAGAGGGAGACTAGTGTTTTTGCTGTTAAAGTGGTCACATTTTTCAGCCTACTGGTTATCATTAAAATGTTTTTATTCATATTGCTTTAGGTACTGCCTTTCATCTATCGTGCCATTGGTTCAAAGCATCTTCCTGCCAGTAACATCAGTTTTGTTCATCTTGATTCCCATCCAGACCTTCTTATTCCTGTTAATATGCCTGCAGATACTGTATTTGACAAAGAAACTCTTTTTAGGTAAGTCCCGGGTACTGCCTCAGAGTACTTTAAATCTACTTCTTGCTGCCTTTGATTCACAGTGAATATTGGTACAACTGAGTAGGAAACATGAACAAAGGAGGTATAATTCAGGTTCAGGTTGTATCTTCCATCTTTTCACTTTTGCTGAAACTTTATTTTTTTAATGGAAAAAGTTACATTTGTGTTTTATGAATGTGGCCAAATGTTTATGTGGTACATCAAGCAATTTAAGATGTATGAATTTGCTTTGTTTAGTTGTTCAGTAGTATATTATGATATTAGCCCCAGTAGTTCCTCTGGGTAACAGGAAAACACTCTAAGTTGATGCTTTGTCTGAAGAACTGTAGTTTTAAATCAGTCTTTCTTTCTTCACACTGAAAAATTGACTTTGAGATTGAAATAGCATATAATTTCTTGGCATGGTGAATATGTGAAATTAAACAAGATTTTCATATTAGAATCATAAAGACCAATATTTTCTACCACCATCTGAGGTAGGTAGGGAATAAGCCACAGGGTGATCCCTGCTATTGTCTTTCTCTTCTTGTTTTAAAATAAATATTGATTGCTTCAGTATTATGGTGATTTACAGCAATTACAAGCTAATGCAGTTGTGTAAATACTTGGATCGTCCTACCCATAGTGAATATTTTATTCTCTTTTTTTGACTAATAAGTTTTGTGGACTCTATCTTAGAATCTTTGAATGATTTGGATTGGAATGGACCTTAAAGATCATCTAGTTCCAACTCCCCTGACATTGGCAGGGACATTTTCCATTAGACCAGGTTGCTCAAAGCCCCACGCAACCTGGCTTTGAACACTGCCAAGCATGGGTCATTCACAACTTCTCTGGAGAACCTGTTCCAATGCTTCACCACCCTCACAGTGAAGAATTTCTTCCTAATATCTAATCTAAACCCACCCTCTTTCAGTTTAAAGCCTTCCCCCTTGTCTTATCACTGTATGCCCTTGTAAAAGTCCCTTTCCAGCTTTCTTCCCTTTTAGGTACTGGATGGTCCTATAGGTCTCCCTGCAGCCTCCAGGCTGAACAACCCCAATTCCCTCAGCTTGTCCTCACAGGAGAGGTATTCTAGCCCTCTGATCATCTTCATGGCCTCCTCTGGACCTGGTTCAATAGGACCATGCCCTTCTTATGTTGAGAGCCCCAGAGCTGCATGCAGTATTCTGGGTGGGGTCTCACAAGAGTGGAGTGGAGGGGCATAATCACCTCCCTCAACCTGCTTGTCATGCTTCTTTTGATGTGACCCAGGATACACTTGACATCATACACGTAATTAAATAGGGTCTTGATAATGAGGAAAGATGCTAATCTCGCAGTTGTGGAGTGACTCACTTTAATTACTGGGATGATATTTAAAATCTACCTAGAGCAGTTTACAATAAAACGCTCTCATGAGGTCAGTCTGAAGTTATTTAGAACGATGTTGTGTCCTTGCTTGCACTTTCCTCTATCTGATGTATCAAGAGAGAAAGGATGTAGAATCACAGAATTGTTAAGGTTGGAAAAGGCCTCTATGGCTATCAAGTCCAACTGGTAACCTAACACTGCCATGTCCACCACTAAGTAGTTTATCAAAGCACCGTACTAAGAGTGAAGCTGATTGCACTCTATGTCTGAACTTTTTTAAATCTACTACAGACATTATAGATTTCCCTCTTTTTCTTTCTTTGATGATGTTACCCTTACACAGAGTACTAATTTTAGATGATTTGCCTGGAGGTTTTAAAGATGTGGAAGATGGTTGTGGTGTTCTTGACCATATTTTATTTATAAGGAAAGTAATACTGTTACCTCCTGTCTTTCTCTATTGATTACAGTGAATTAAGTATTGAGAACTGGATTATGCCTGCTGTTTATGCTGGCCATATTTCTCAAGTAGTATGGCTTCACCCACCCTGGGCTCATCAGATCTCAGAAGGAAAACACAGTTTTCTTGTTGGGAAAGACCTGTCAACAACGACAATCAGGTAAATTGTCTGCTGTCATAATGCTAGTAATATAAAAGTTGTCTCTGTAGCTTTTCACTGGCATTTTTTTGTGTTCTTGGATAAAGATGAAAATTTAATTTGTAATTTGTATTTGTAATTTCCTTAGGAAATGCCTAATGCAGTTCAACTTATATCTATTTACTCTTTGGTCTGCCTAGTAAAATTTTTATTTGGTGTCAGCCATGATTCTATTTTTCTAGTGTGGGAGTGGTTTTTTTGCTTGTTTTGTTTTTTGGGTTTTTTTAAGTTAGTCTACTACTTAAACACTGAAACAGGTACTCAGGTGGTGAATTCTCCATCCTTTGATAAAGGATGATTGATCTGGGCAGCCTCATCTACCTGGAAGTTAGTTCTGCTTTGATCAGATGGTTGACTAGAGACTTCCAGATGTCTCTTCCAATCTTAATCATTCTGTGATTCAAGTTCTGATCAGAGCCCCTCATCATTCTGCAGGATGCAATCCATGATAATTTTTCATTCACTATATTCACTGTGTTGTGATTTTGTACAGTTTTAATGGGCATTTACAAATCATGTCTCTTATCAGCATATTGAAGTAAATCTTTTGAGGCAAGTTTAACAGAGGACAGCAAAGAAATGCCTTGTTTTACCACCTTAAGTAAAATGCTAAAGCTCTACAATTCTGAATCTGAAGCCTACAGTTAACCTAAATAATAATAATAAATTATAACTATGCTAATGATGATAATAATTATAAAGCAGCTAGTAGTTTCAATTACATTTAATCATTTAACCAAGATATAGAAATACTTCATAATGACTGAATAGCTCTCACTGGTGGCCTTAGCTGTCCCAAAAACAACATTTCAGGCTTCTTTTTGAACACTGTCAGGTACCTTCACTTCAGATTCCAGGCTTACCAAATCCATGAAGGAAAAAAGGGAAAGAGTCCTCAGAAATACAAACTTGCTTAAAGTTTTGTTGACAACAGATGAATAGGCAATAAATACCTTAGTGTCCACTAAGGAAAAGGCTGTAGTATGAGCTCATGTTGAACCCTGCAGAATTTCTGAGAAGAGGTCCTGGGAATGCCCTGTCAACAAGATGAAGTTGTGATCCAGCCTCTCATCTTGGCAAGCTCAGGCTAATCCATCCACAAGACACTGGGGAACTGAGCTTCAAATGTCTCCTGCTTATGAAATTATTTGTCTTTGATGGTGATACCCTGTAATCAAACAAGGCTTTAACAGACATGAGCGGAAGTTCACACTTAAGCTTATCTTTAGTCTGAGTTTATGATGCTTAAGGCTTAATGTACTGAAATATGGCTTAAAAATTCCATTCTTTATATAAGCAGAGGTTTTAGCACTGTTGCTTTTGTTGAATTAGTTGTTTTGGGTTTTTTATATAAGTGGATTCAACTGATACCTAGCTATTTATCCTCTAGTTACCATCTCTCTCACTTAGAGCAGGGAATCTATGTCAGTGGTAAAAGAAGTTAAATTCTACCTATTAATTAATAATATTTTACTTTTACTAAATCAATATTTATGCATTTCCGGGCATTTCTCAAGCCCAACTAACATAATTTTCCTGGAAAATTAGAAAAGGCAAAATAGCTATAGCTTTGCAATCTTATATGCCACAATATTGACAATATCTTGTTCAATTCTGGATGTTGTCTTTAAAATGCAATTTAATGGCAAATTAATCATAGTAGCACATAATGTAGAGTCTTTTTTCTTATCCATTAAAACCTTGTAGGACTATCATAAAAAGTGTAGGATGAATTTATATATATTTATTTCACAATAAAGAAGTGGAAAAAATTTTAATTTAAAAACCTGAGGATTGAAATTTTGTCTACACAGTTTTATTGCTTTCGTTACCCATCAAACGTCTGTTTATTCTTCTCTGGATCTTTAAAGTATAAAATGCTTTTTCCTAAGCTCTTTGCCAAGATGTATATTAACTGTGAGTTACTGTCAATTGTAGGGTTACAGGCACAGATCATTACTTTTTAAGTGATGGTCTTTATGTTCCTGCTGATCAGCTAGAAAACCAGAAGTCCTTAAATTTACATGTCATTCTCATCAACCCTATTGAATCATCTAATGGCCATGAAGAAAATGGTGAAGTAGCATCTGCTAAAAGACTGAAGCTAAATACAGATGACACAGCAAGCACCACTTCTGCCTCTTCATCAATGGGTCTTGGTGACCTTGATAACAGCACCCCAAGTGTGAAGCAAAAGGAAGTACCAAATGCAAGTGCCCTGAATAGGGCAGGAACCTCGCCAGAGTGCTCAGCTTCAAGCTGTCTCAAAACCAGTGAATGCCCAATAAGGGAAGTTGTTAAAGATATCTGCCAAGTGCTGCAGAAAGGGGATGCATATGTTTTGGACATTGACTTAGATTTTTTTTCAGTTAAAAATCCATTCAAAGAAATGTACACACAGGTAAGCATAACAATTGAATGGCCTCATACCATTCACAAGAGTCATAGTCTTAGTATTTATGTCTATGGAGAAACTTTCACCTAAGCTCAATCAGCAGATTAGCTGATCACGGTTAATGATTCATGGTCATATTTTAAAGAGAGACATTCTAGTGGAGTGTACCTGACAAAAATTTACAACTGCCAAATAGGGGGAGATTCTTACATTTGATAATGGTATGGAGTGTACATTCAAGCTCAGAGGTATATGGCTCACTTGTGCTTGTTGCTTGGGACATAAATGCTATGCTTGGGTTTCCACAGGTAACCTTCCAAATACTCACAGCAAGAGTCATCAAGGAGGAATCATAGAATGGCGGATTGTGTCATTTTTTACCCTTCATGACATACTATTAGAAAACCACAGTGGTATCAAGAGAGACTGCCTTTCAAAAGGCATGGTGGTGTTGATTGTCCAAAGAGTGGTAGCTTGTCCTGATGAGAGGCTGTTATGCTCATTATTGTCTGCAGTACTAGAGTAGGGGAATGATCTTGGTAATCACATTATTTTTTTGAAGAAGGAAAGCTTTGAGGATTTGGTTTCTCGTTTGAAGAGTCTAATCCTTTTCCTCTTTTTTGTCTAAGACAGAATATGGGCTCTTGCAAGAGTTGTACAATTTCAAGAAGCCGCACAAAAATGCAACAGAGGTATGATATTTCCTTGTGGCATGTAGAGGGAATGGTTCTTTTTATTCACCCAATAAAAATGAGTTACGCCAACAGGAGGGAACCTATCAAAGGTGCTTAATGAAGTGGTCTCAAATTAAGCTACGTGGCACGCTGAATGCTAATCAGCAGAATCTTAGAAATTCTTTCCTATTAAATGTTTTGATTAAATGAGTAAATTGCATAAATATTTAGCAGGAGTGTGAAAATTAATTTCTGTAAACAAATGGTAATTGACAAGGAAGGAATGAAAACATTGTAAGTCATCTGCAATGTTGTTCTTTTTGTGGCTCGACAGGACTTTGGACTGGTGAGGTTTCTTCTTTTTTTTTTTAACCCCTCCAGGCTCTCCCCTTCTTTGCCCTAGTTGCTCTTGCTTGATAGCCAGAGTTGTGATAAATGTCTAATTGGTATTTTACCTGTCTATTTAGACCTGGAAAGGATGGTATTATGCCACTGTAATGTATTTTTTCATTTTGTGTGCTCTCTGCTTCTCATAGGAAATGTAAACTTTCATAATCTCATCTGGACACTGTTAGAAAGATTCAACACATGTAATTAGCACAAATTAATGAAACCTAATTAATATATATATAAAGAAATAGAGATATGTGGAATATTGGCAAACTGATTTTCATATCTCTTAGTAAATCTGCAGTAAAAACAGATACATATTTAGAAGGTGGCTTTTTTAAAATTATTGTTGGAAAGACAGAGCAAAGTGAGACGATTTATTCTGAAAGTATAACAGCTTCTACAGACATTCACTGTGATCCTCTTGAATTGATGTGCCATAGTAATGAAACAGTTGTTTCAGATTCCCCACTTCCAGTAGATCAGTCATTACAGAGTTTAAATCATAAGGTAAACCATGATATTCTTACTTCATTTTTTTTACTAACATACTGTTATATATGCTTATCTAAAGGAAGGCTTGCTGGATTGTGTTGAAAACCGTGTTCATCAGCTGGAAGATCTGGAAGCAGCATTTGCAGATTTGTGTGACAGTGATGATGAAGAAACTCTCCAGAAATGGGCTTCATATCCTGGGTATGAGAATTATAAATGGCTTAAAATGCAAACAGAAGTTTTGGAACTGATAAATCCCAGCACTTTGATAACAGAGAAAGATAGGATCTATGCAAGGATACTGTTTTTCCTTTAGTTCTAGAGGAGAAAGAGTCAGACAAAATAAAAGGAAAGTCAGTCTGCTGTCTTCAGCACCACCGTAAGACTTTGAAGCTCAGTCTTCTCCAGCTTCTTTCAAACTCTGTTGCCTATGGATGGAGGCATTTTGTTGACTAAAAACTTAGTCATCAGTGTGTATCAGAGTTCTCAAAAAAACAACAAACCAAGGAGGACATGGAGAAGCAATGCTTTGGTGCTCCCGAAGGGTCAGCTTTCTGTGGAAAAATGGAAATGAGCGAAAAATTATGTCTGAGCAACAGTCTCCACTAAACATCTGAACTGTCCCAGCCCCGTTGCCCACTGTGCTGTTAAAGTAAATGTTTTCAGCTGAAAAGAGACACTGAAAATCTGAGCTTTTCCTTGATGGGAAAATCATTTATTTTCCACATCAAATGCAGCAATTACTGTCAGACCTCTGTAATAGTGACAACAAATATTTCCTGTAAAAGTTGATACGACTCGACCTTTGCAGGTCTGCCTTAAAAGAAGCACAAAGAGGACTTGCCAGAGGCAGCTATGAGTATAAGGGCTTTATAAGAAAGAAACAGTACAATAGTACTGATAATTGTACTGGTGAAACAGTACAATAGTACTGATAATTTCCATTTTTTCAGGTGCAAGATGACAAAGAGAGGCAAATTTCATTTTCAAATCCTAGGCCATAATAACTTCTACTTTCCTCTTTTTTTTTTCTCTTCTTTTTATTTGTTTTGTTTTGTTTTGTTTTAACTGCAGAATGAAGCCACTTGTTCAACTAGTTCACAGTTTGAAAACCAGGATGGAAAGCCCAGACTATGAAATGGTAGGTGGCAAGGTAAAAGAGCAAAAAGTAGATGAATTTCAAAAGCATAGCTTCAACAGACAGGGAAAATTCATACTTCCTTTCAGATTTGCTTCTTGATTCAGGACTTTGTGAGAGTTTGTTACTTTTCCTGGGTTTTTATGTCTCATTACTTATGCCAGCTTTTCTTTTTAAAGCTGCTAAAATTCTTCTCTGCTTGTCTATATTTAGGCAACATTAGTGTGATCTTTCAGGACTGTGATATCTTGAACCACATTCTATGAAGGGAGGTTTTGTTTCACCAGGGTCTGTTGATCTTCTTTATAGAATTTAAGATAAGATACCTATTTATAAAGCATCAGAGCTATCATCTTCAAGGACTGCAGCACACTGAGTTTATAGAAAAGGTACAGTGTACTGGAGATAATGAAACAATCCATACAACCTCCAGATTTTTATTTGTTTCGTTTAAAGAACAAGCTGGGGCAGAAAATCCCACAACTCTTACTGCCTAAAGAGGTGTAAGTTATCTACTGGGCTAGGGATGGTATGCTAGAGACCTTCTACACAGGTAAGCTGTATCAATAGTTCATCAACAGAAATGAAATCTGTTTAATTTACCTGTAGGTACATCAGGCTGGTTTAACCTGTGATTATATGGAGCTTCCTCACCATGTTAGCACTGAAGACGAGATCGAAGGCCTCATACAATCCGTTAAAGTTCTACTAAAAGATATGCCCAAGCCCACGCTTGTGACTGTTGCTCGGTAAGACTACGTGGACACTTTTAGTTTAAAAAGCTCTGACTGTACTCATGAAGATAAATGATTTTATCAGTATAGCACTGGTTGGTGCATCTTAAGTCCCGTCTTAAAGTGGAAGCCTTATAGTATAGTAAACATTGACATTTGGAAATATTAATCATAAATCAGTGACAGAATCTACACAGATAAGGGAAGGCTCTGCACTGATGGCCAGTTTTACTGGGCTTTAAAGTAGCTGGCACTGATTTCAAAAGCTGTGAAAACATGATGACTTAATCTGCTTCAGCATAAGTTATATAAAGTCTATAATGAGGCCTTGCGTATGTTGGGATTGATAGCTGTCACTGGAGTTCATGCATCTTCACTACTTCCATTACTTGTGCTAATTAGAGCAAAGCTAGGACAAACCTGCCTGGGCTGACATCCCACGTTTCTTCTTCTCTTGCTCTAGGGTGTTGTACTATAGATAGGATTTCTGTTTTCAGTGAAACTTCTGCTGGAACTGGTTTTCGTCTAATAGGCTGAAAGCAATCTATATTCTTTAAGGCTCTAGTAAAGCTTTGTTATGGAGTAAAAGTTATGTTTCCAGGACTGTAAGAGTTATTATTTAGGAGAAAAGGATGGAGCTTGAGGCCAGGGACCTGGGAGAACCAGGGATCTCTAAACCTAATTTGGAGGCCACAGTGTTATCTTTTTTCAAATTGTTGCAATTTAATCATTCAGAAATACCAAGTGTGCCCTTAAAAGGGCAGGCAACAATAGCAGAAGCTGACACGAAACTGGCTTTGTCAATAAGAAATAGTATGGGTAATCCCTACAATAAAAGAAAGTATATTCCCTGTGCCAGCTGCAGGATTGTCATCCAGTGTTGCAGAGGAAACAGAATCATCTCTCTAAATCTTGACAGATAAAAAATTCAAGAAGTGTCAGCTCTGCTAGTATTGGTTTGCAGTTCATTAATAGGTACTGTAAAAAATGTTATATCCCAGGGATTATGAAGATGTTTTTCAAGTTTTTCTACCTACTTTACTAGTAGCATTTGAATTTTTCAATTTTAACTTAACATGTGTCCTATAATTAGATCGTTTGCTTGAACTTTGTCTGCCAACATGTTCTGTGTCAGATTCAGAAAGAGAGTAAAATTAGAAAGAAGATTAGGTCACATTCCTGATCTGCTGCAGGCTTTCTATTCAGCTTAAAAAGTAGTGAGGAGATCCACAGCACTACGCTTTGAAGGGATACTGGGAGGCAGAACTTGCCAAAGTTGTAAGGCTCAGCCTAGCCACAGAGCCTTACAAAAATACACAATGTTGTCATGCTGGTGATATCTGTATTCTCTCATGCCTTTTTCAATTCCTTGTTACAGATCAAGTTTGGATGACTATTGCCCTTCAGAGCAGGTTGACATGATTCAAGAGAAGGTTCTCAATTTACTCGGTTCGGTGTATGGCTCTCTGAATGTGCACTTAGACTACTCAAGCACTTCATCTTCTTTGTGACCTTGCTTCATGTATTGCTGTCTAATGCAGTGGATTAATTTAAATTGCATATTAGCTATGGTTACAAGGGGAAAACTACTGTTATTTCACCAGGTGGCACTAGAACCCAAGCTGACCCAGAGCTAGTTTTGAGTTGCATTACTTTCTCTAAGTCAGCTACATTTGAACTGTTCGTTACCTGTTTGGCTTTGTTTAGATTAGTTCTGTGATTATTATTTTTATTGTCTTTCTTCTTAAAATTGGTGCAAGAGAAATGACTTTTTGTCTATAAAATGACACTTTTTGTCTGATTTCTTTGTGTCTGTAAAAAAAACATAAAATATATAATTTTTTAAAATAAATAGATATCTTTTATGTAATTAAACTTTTTTTTTTAATTGAGTTTGGTGAGTAACAGAATTTGTTCCTGAGTTGCATTATATCTTTTAAAAAATTATCTGAATAATGCCCTTAAGACTGTAGGTTTACATAGTGATCTCTCGTAATTTTTGTACTTGAGATGAACCTCTCATTTCTATAGAGCAGCTTATGGCTTCTGCCCTATCCACAGAATATCATTTATATTTATACTCTCTTTCATTAATATTGTCTTATTTTGCCTTAGTATTTCATTGGTGACTCATATGATGTCCTTAATGTACAGACATTGGCTTGATATTTTCACTTTTACATAATTTTGAGGATAAAAAGTATGTTTACATGTGCATGCTTTTATCTTTGGAATCCTGTAAGGAATTGAATTGATAGTTTCTTCAGAAACAAAGATTTAGCCTCATTGAAGTCAGCAGCAAAATCTTCTGTACCAGTTTTTTGCTCATTTCTGTATTGCTATTTGGAAAATAACAGTTTTAGAAATGTTTAATTTAGAAATCAATATAGTTATAGAGAAAACTGCCACTTTCAGAGATAAAAACCCCACAGGATTTATTTGGGAATGAAAATGAAATGGGAAAGAAAAAAATGCCACCTAGAATATTGTTATTTGTTATGAATATATTTTGCGTGTAATTTCTTCTGAAATAGTTAGGTTCATTTGCTAACATTACTCTTTGCTCTACCATGACTTTGTGCACTTTTATGGTTTTTTATTGCTTCTGCTGTTGATATAAATTACTGTATTATAGATTGCAAATATATAATCATTCTAAAATATTTCTTCCAGTAGAATAAATTCCATGACCATGGACCCGCCTTCATTGTGTTTTTGTGACACATCTGTCACAAAGACATGCCTAGCCTGGGACCCAGTTTCCTTAATACTTCATAAATTATGAACAGCCATACCTTACATATAGAAATGAAGTGCAGTCAGATCATGATTGTGTAAAGATTGGGGTTTTTTTAAAGTTAGAGATGCTTCTTGCTGGGCTTTGCATAAGGTTGTAGAAAACAAAAAAACCCAAACATGTAGGGCACAGCTGAGCCCCTCAACCACGGCCGGGTGGGCGAGAGCCCTGGGGAAAGCTTGGGCAAGGGAGATCAAAACACTGCCCGGCAGCCAGGGCTGAGGGATCCAACTGGGAGAACCTTTAGCATGGACCAAACTCAGCAATGTTTGCATCTCTGCCTGGGTGCTGCTTTGGGGATTCCTTGGTTGGTGAGGTAACAAAAATAAATTTACTCTTTGCATTTTGTCTGTGGTTTTGTGGTTGTTCCTGTGCCCTGCCTGTGCAGGCTTACACACACATGTTCAGTGTGGCTCTGCAGAATTAAACTAGCATCATGAATCGTCTATTCGCTATCCAAGTTATTTAAGAAATGTTCCTTTCAAGCACAGTTTTTGTTTATGAATGTCAAATTGTTATCTTCTGAAATGTATGACTAACACAAACTGTATAATGCACTCTAGAAAATGCCAGTCTCACCTAATTATAGAGACATTAATTTCTACATTAAGGACATTTGCAAGGTTGTTTTTTACTTTGGCAAAAAGTAATCAAGCCAAACCAGAAAGAGGTATCTCTATTTCTCACTTCTATATATGGCTTATTTATTAACCACACATACAAAATCCTCCATTCCCTATGTCTGCCTCAATGTCCTCTCAGCTTATTTCAATATCTATTATGCAGAACAACACAATGAAATCATACTGCCCAACTCTTCTAATCAGTGCTATAAGGATGAGACATGAAGGCCCATTAGAAATAAATTCACTTGAGGATATTAATATAGCAGCACCATATAAGACAGCAGCTTCATATTGTCTCTTGTAGCTAGGTGTCCTTGCCAGCTCTGCTGCTCCTTTTGGCACCACTTAGGAGTGAGGATGCCCACTTGGGAGGGCATTTGCAGATATTTGCAGATGGATCTCAGCAGTAGAGATATGCAGGGATAGTTCTGTCATAATTGTGGCTCAGCTTCCAAGATGGACCATCAACCTGAGCATAAACAGTAAAACTATCACACATTTCCATACAGTATGAAATAGAGCCTTAAACCAAATATACTGAGTGGTGTCTGTGCATCACCAGCTCTGCAGCCCAGCCACACTGCAGTTTCCCAGCTTGTCACTGCAGAACAAAATTAGCTTTTTCAAGAAAAATGAACGGAGGGTGAGTCAGATGGCTGAGGTTATCATGTCCTTTGTTACCATTTCTTCCTCTCCTTGAGGCTTCTGTTTCTGACAGCTCTGTCCCTTCCCTTCCTCTGGTAACTACTGTGAGTTAATCACCCTAGTCTCAGGCAGAGCTGGACTATGGGGGTTGAAGAGTCAACTGCATAAATATTTCTTCCTGCTGTTATTGTGGAAGAAGAAAATAGTTATCCAACAAGTTCAGTCTTAGGGGAAGAGTCCCTTCCCTGGAGGTACATAAAAGATGGATGGATGGATGGATGTGGCATTTAGGGACATGGCTTAGTGGTGAACATGACCATGCTGGGTTAACAGTAGGACTCAATGACCTTAAAGGTCTTTTCCAACCTAAACAGTTCTATGATTCTGTTTCTAGGACACCCAGGATATGGGTCCTGTCTCCTTATGCATCCACTGGACAGCACCTGGAAGGGGCCCTCCTGTCCTGCTTGATGGCCCCTATTGTCCCCATGAGTGCCACAAACCCTTTCCATATCCTATCCTCCACCAGGAGGGAGGATGTAAACACCAGTTTTCTGCCTTTAGTTTTCAGTGTTTCAGTGTTTCAGTTTTCCTCTCTTGCAGGAGGAAATCCTCTGTGCCCACAGCAGAGGTGCAGCTCCCACACCCCAATGTAGATGGCAAGTCAGGGACCCAACAAACCCAGTCCCAGCTCCTGCCTTGGCACAGACTTCCTCACTGTCATCAGGTTCAACCACAGACCTATCTTGGGAGAGAGGCAGTCTGGCTAGCACTGACCCCAACGGAGGATCATAGCACCACCACAAAGGTGTATTAATTCCTTCCCTGTCTTTGAGGCTCTGGGCCACTAGCTGTCCTGCTTCTCTGTCACAAGCAGAGCTCATGAAGGTGCTGGATCCATTCACTAGTGCTCACCTCCCTGCAGACTTACAGGGACGCTCATCTTCCTCCTCTCTCAGTAACTCTCTTCTGCAAAGGAAAGCTGTTGCTCGCCATATCCTAAAATGTTCAAGAAATGGCTCTGATCTGAATTTTTGTCTAGTTCTATGTTGTGGCTGGGTACTTTTTTACAGTTTAATTGCAATTCACTTTGAGCATACCTAATTTCAAATAGGGATACTTAGCCCTCTCAAGGAAGCAGACATCTCACTGGAGAGAGACAAATCATTCCAACCTTCCCTTGCTAAATGCAAGTTAAATATATTCATTGGTTTCCCTAAATGTCCTGATGGTTTTGCACATCTCCTACCACAGGGGGCTGCATTGTCTGCTAGGGAGCTTTCTTGTGGGATTGCATGCCTTTAGCAGAATTGTTGTCATATATTTTTACTTAAGGCCCTTGACAAAACAAATATTATGTTTGTGTTCATCCTTCACTACTTTACAGAATGAGGTACATTATGTGCAAATTTAGGGCTAGATCTCCCAAAACACGTTTGACATATGACCCTTTGTCACCTGCCCTAAGCAATACTAAATCTCAGATTTATTCAACGTGCTGTCAGCCAGTCAAGAAATATCTCCCAGCAGAGTTTTTAATATGAAGCTGAGATACTATGCTGAATATCGCTGTACTACATTCTTTTCTAATGGTTATGTCTTTTGTGCTCTGTTTGCTACCCAGCATCTCTTCCAACCATCCTTATAATAAACACGACTTTAATAAGATTCCAAGGTGCACAAAAGCCTTCTGGAACACTCTGCCCTGCACCAGGTGATCCTTCCCTGCTACTTGATTTTGCTCAGCACTGAACACTAATGACCAGGCTAACTCAAATGCCTGACTTAAATGTATCAAAGCCTGCCTTACGGCTTTCTTCTCTTTACTTCAGCTTTACTTATTTTATCACCTTAAAGTAGTACAGGTCACCAGCTACCCAATTCCCATTAACACTGAGTTTCTGCTATCATTTTTGTAATTCCAGTTGCCCAAACTCAGATGCCCCGTTTTTTCTGTAAGACTAGCTTCTCTGAGTTACTCCCTACCTTGGCTCTAGGCCAGTCATTAAACTGGAACGTGACTGGTCTTCTCAGTCAGGACATAGTGCTAATTCTTCTGCAAAGGCAATACTGATGTGATTAACTCAGTCCTTCCTCAAACCCTGAATTTGTTCCTTTTTTTTAAGTGCAGCATTTTGTGAATGCCTGTAACTAAAATCAGAACATGGATGGATTTTGTTTCCACGCTATTTTATTTCAAGTAAATATGGGTCTGCTCAAAGCTAGCTCACTGAAGTTCCTGAGAAATGAAAGTCAAAAAGGTGATGCATTAGTGACTTCCATTTCCCAGGTAGTCCAAAAGTTTCAAAGCAGGTCAATATTATAGCTCACTAATAGTGAACAGAAATAGTTCACTAATTTTGGCTTCTTTGTTTATAAATTGCAATAATAGAAATATGTTTATAAAAACATATATATAGTATACTGGTTTTCATAGGAAATTAGACAGAGTAAAACCTGTGGATTAAAATTTCTGCCTTTGATGAGGTTACAAAAGCTTCTCCTTTTCTAACAAGTCGCTCTATGTATCATTAGACAGTGAAGAAGAATAGAAGTAGTTCCCTTTTTTCCTATTTCTCAGATTTCAAGGAGGCAAACAATCCTAGTAACACCACTTCTCTTCCTTCCCCTCCCACTGACTCATCCTTATTTTTTTAATCTACTTCCTTTGCCTTATTTGTCTCCTTTGTGTTTCTAAGCTTTTAATTCATTTGATGTTTTCTGACTCTAGACAACAATCCAATATTCAGCCTTAAAAATACATAAGGCATGAGACACCTCTAATCCCAGAATGCTGTAGTATTAAATATTCTACTTTAACCACCTCTAATGTCAGTATTATGGATCCTACTTTAAGTTATAACCTTGTGCACAATGCAGAGCAAGTAACACTAAGATCATCAAACTAGACATCATATTAAAGAGCTAGTAATACAGTCATACTGCTTAAGCCTGTTGCTAAAATGCCCTCGTAATTAGGTCCAACAGCTGAAAAGAAGGACCATTCAGTGAACAAAATGCCTGGGACTGGCCCCATGGAGAAAAAGTGCTTTTAAAGCACTGAATGCTATTGGGGATGAATTCCCACTAATACGTTTATTTTTGCTGCTGCCTGTGATTCTTCAGGTTTTTGAGGAAACCCTGGTAAATGCTGACACAGACCAATAAGCTTTTGAAAAGTGACTTGAAACCAAAGAGAGTCTGCTTACTTAAAGGTATTTTTAGGACAAAATTCCAGATATAAATGTGCTGTATTATCCCCTTCTTTTGTGTCTTACATCCTTCCTCCCTGCTCTCTCCCAAAAATACTCTCTCCAATTTTTGTTTCTCCCTTTTGTGTTTTATTGTCTAATTTTGATGCCTAATTTTATAATTCATAATAGGTAATTAAAAAAAATTCACCTCTCCTTTTTTTCACTGGCAATAGCAACTTTTATCGGTAATTTTACTAGTCTGTAAAAATTTTTCATACAGAGTTGTTCAACATTGCTTATATTTTAATGTGTTTAATATGTTTGCTTCAATGTGTAGTCTTTTAAATTTTTTTAAGATTAAGGAAATTTATGAATACAAGTAATTTCATCTGAAAAACTGAATATATTAATTGAAATAAGTTAAAAATATTCCAGCTTACATATTTAGGAAGAAAAATACATTTTTTATTAAAAAAAACTAAATTTACTAACAGTAACTAAGAACAAGTAAAATATTGTCAAGCAGGATGCTACAATACTGTATAAAACTTAACGATTGTGGGTTGGTGATTTATTGTACTTAATTTCTTCTGTATTTTTCTTCTGGAAGCAGTCCTTGTCATATTTTATATCCCATTGTATAATGTGAAAGAAAAAAAAATTAAAATATCCACCACAGTAGTCTGCAAGTCACAGCAGGTTCCAAGTCCACTTCCTAGAGCTCCCTTTTAGTGACGTCCCCAGTTCCACAGGAGTAATCAATAAAAGTGATGAAAGGGCTTTAACGATAGAATATTTATTGTATATAATTTATTTACTACCTTTAGCTTTCTTCCCTGTTAGTAAAAAGCATAACATACTT